ATGCTCATTTTGAAATGACCGATCATTTTGGTCATTTATCATATAAATTTATATGACTCGATCATTTGCCAACACTGACATATATAGTATACATGTTAATTATGGCAAATATGTAACATTTCGGAGTAAGTTTATTTTATTACTAGCATTTATATTGTTTATATTATTTATTTATGCGAAAATGCGTAGTTTATAATTTAGTATATATTACATTGATAATTATTTACAGAAAAAATATATTCCGATGGTTGCAAGTCTTGCTGATAGACTTACGGACTTCCAGATAATAAAATTCTTTTAAAACTTTCAAACTTTCCTTGTGTCTTCATATAGACTCTGCTTGTGATAACAATTGAATTATAAAATAAACGTTATTAGTGATATATTACCAAGATAAAGGATTCCGGAATATCGTATCACATTGCATCCAGGGTTAACAATTGGTGTTTCTGCCAGGCGAAAACTTTATTAAAAAGAATTATTAGTGAATGAATATTTATTATAAATTGCAAGAAACCCATATTGAACAACATAATAAACATAATAGAAACAAGAAAATCTAGCAAAAGATTATACCTGTTTAATTTGTTATCCAATTCCTGGACAAAAACCTCGAAATTTCAGACACTTTGGAATTGGATTAGTGCTGAATTTGGAGCAATCGTATACACCAGAAAGACTATAGATCTTTTTAAACAGATAGTTGAAGAACTTATTAATCTAACTTATATAAAGCATTTGTGATACAATATTAAAAGATTACTGTGTAGCTTGACTTTCATTGATCCTTGTATCCCTGGAGCTAATTCTGAACATATTATTTTAAAAGTAATTGAATTAGCTCAAAATCAAACAATTTTAATAAATCTGTTAAAAGCTCATTTAACATTAATCCTACTGTACCTCTAGTAATAAGCATCACATTAAAGTACGTTGATAATATGACAGGAGAAAGGGACTTACAACTGCTACCCTCTTCACATCAAAATGATGATGAAATTTATGGGAATATTTTAGATGAAAGTATTAGAGATAATTCAGGATAAGATCAAAGAATATTGGAAAAGGCAAAATGACGAATCTTTAACAACTAGACAGATTTCTGTGATCATTCAACAAATGCAAAATTCTTTTCAAAATATCATAAAGGAAATAAGAAATTCTCAACTACCTTCAGCAACTCTAAGAAAATTGAATATTATATTAGTACAACCTTTTTGGAAAATAAGAATGAAGATCTGAAAGAATTGCTTAAGTATTTTGAAATTGCAGCTATTGCAAATAACTGATTAGCTATAAGAAAAGAAAATATAGTAACTGAAATTTGAAGGGACCTGCTATATTATAGTTTGAAAATAACAAAAATAATATTGCATATTAGATAATGTGACAATTGCCACAAGATATTTTATGCATATATTTAGAATTAATTTACAACTTATATGCAAAAGTACAAATAGCATCAAGAGTTGAGCAATATTAAACAACATATAAATAAAACTATTGATACCTATAATGTTAGATTTAGTAATTTAAAGAGACTAGTTGATCCAACTGATGCATTGTCAGCTGAATATCAGATTCAATTATTTCTAAACAGATTAAAGTCAAGTTTAGTAATATAAGAGTTATGAGTGTTCTGAATAATCTTGCTAGAATAGTAAATATTACTAAGAAGAGGTTGATTCCATCTATAGTAAGGATGCTGTTATACTTTTAACTAACAATAATATAATTAAAGTATTAATGAAACAGATAAAGCAACTTATCATTAATTATGCTAATATCATAATATTTTAGCAAAATCACTAAAATGAAAAATACAAATATTGTTAGTAAAAAGTATTTGATAAAAATCAATCATATGCTATAGATGTAATGAAAAAGAACACTATACTAAAAAATACTTATTTGAAAGACCAAAGGTAATAATAAATAAAGAGATGCTAATCTTATTGAAATATTTACTGATAATTAATCAAAAGAAGAAAAAAAAGAGGTTTACACTTCTGAAGGTTACAATCTTATATAACAAATAGAAGAATTGTTAAAAAAAGCAACAGAAAATAATTAAGACTTCTGAATCAAAAAAAATGAACTTTAAAAGTCATGCTGTCACAAATAATGATTTTTCATAAACATAGTTAATCATAGATAATACTAAAGAAAAAATAAACAAGTTAAAAATCAAGAGTACCTTCAATAATAGATAAATTATCAACATATAATGTAACTGATAATACACTTAATCAATAATTTACTGCTACTTTAGGATAGTGATTAAAATATTAGAGCAAAGAAGGAATTTAGTTAACGCTTTAAGAATAGCAGTAATTCAAAATATATCAGCAGCAAATATAAGTTTTTATGATAAAAAACTGAAAAGAAAACTACTTTATATAAAACATATATTTGAATTAGGAATAATTTGATAGAGGCAATTATTGATACTAAAGTAATAGTTAGCATTATTATTAACAAATTAGCCAGCAAACTGGAATAGAAAATTAACAAACTATCTAATATAATTGTATTTATAGCTAATAGTAGTAAAGTTTACATTTTTGGATAAATTATTGATATCAGAATTAGAGCTTTGAATCAGATTAGATCAACCTGTGACTCAACCTAACTTAATCTTAAAAATTCAAATTAGGAAGACAAATTTTCAGGTCAATATCTTATCATGTCAAACTTATGATCTGATTTGATAAAATTCAGGTCAACCCATCAAATTAAACAAAATAAAATATTTAAAAAATTTTTTTGATCTATTTTTTTAAAATATCTTTAATTTTAAACTTTTTTTTTATAAAATAATAAAAAATATCAATAACAAGACAAACGAAAATAAATAACTCATGAAAAAGTTTCTAAAATATTATAAATAACAAATACAATAATAATAATAATAATAATAACACTATCTCTAGTTCTTCAAGCAACTCTAACAAACAATAAAAACAAACTAAAAAACAAAAACTTGCTAGCAATACTTCTTCTTAAACTCAAGAAATGCCTTTAGAAATAATTATCAATAATATTATTACCAGCAATAATACTACTTTATCTATCAATGATTTAATACTCAAACCTAAAACTATAGAAACTATTGATATTGATCCAACTTTTCTCATCTTAAAAAATGACACTCCTCTTCCTGCTGTCTTTCAAATAACAAATGACTCTATACATGCTTTGAGTTCTTCAAATATCAGTAATAATAACAATACAAACTTTACCTAATCATAATGAGTTTTCTAGCTAACAAAAGTAAACAAAAGGAAACTTGAGCTGATAAAATAGAAAATAATGATAAATTACATAATCAAGAAAAGAACAAAACTTCATTCAATATTATTACTATTCTATACATTTTTATGTGACTGATAACACATCTGATATAAAAGGAAATTTTGTGACTAAAAAATGTACTTTTATTAACTTCTTGTTTATTTACTTTGATAGATATCAAAGCTTTATGTAATTTTCAAATTCAGAAAGTTTTTTGTATATTTTAAATCTATGGATTCTCTTAAGCATGCTTTCACAAAAATACAGAAAACATAATATAATCCTATTTTACTATTATTGATCTTGCTGTGAAATAATAATGATAAAATGCTGAAAAAGATAGGACAATTAAAGTTTCAGATATACTACTCTTTACTAAATCTGATATAGTACAAAACTACTTCATCAAATATGAAAAGATCTCTTATTTCTCTTTGATCATTAGAGGACTCTAGCTGATCGCATTTATTTTATATGAAAATCCTGAATCTATTAAATAATTTTATAATCACATATGATCTATATCCTTTTTAGAAAAATTTTAAGAGTTAAACCTACTGATTTAAATTCCCATGCAAATTGCTTTTAAACAACAATTTAAACTGAAACTAACTAGTTTACTATATAATACTGATCAATGTCAACTAATCAATTTCCTCTTACACATTAAAATCAAATCTTATTTTATCACATAACCAACAATATTATCTAAGATATTATACTTTTGTAAACTTTGCCAATGCTGATAATTTAGATTCTACTGCTCAGCAATCCTAAAAATTTAAAGAAAAAGTCATTTACTAGATAGAACTATTAAAGAAATACTGTAGAAATTGTGATGTTTCTGACTAGAGCTCTGAATAAGGTCAGGTTAACCTGTGATCTGACCTGACCTGACCTGAAAATCCAGGTCAGGTAAACAAATTTTCAGGTTAACATCAGGTTGGGTTAAGCTTATGATTTGACCTAATAAAATTCAAATTAACTAATCAAATTAAATAAAATAAAATATTTAAAAAAAAATTATTTTATTTTTTTTTTTTTAAAACATCTTTAATTTTATTTAATATACTTTCTTTTTATATTATAATAAAGTTGTTTGTATAATTACTTTGTAATTTATTATATCAAAAAGTTAAATTTTAAATTATAAACATTTTTTGCAATTACATTGTTCAACAAATTAATTTTAATTTTTTTTATTTGTTCAATTACTTCAAGATATATTTGAGCACTTTGGTCAAAGAAATTGACTTTTGTCTCATATGTAAAGTTGCTCAGCGGATTCGAAAATATGTGTATATAAAATATCCTAATTGTGACTTCAATCTAATGTATGAATTCAGTATCTACTACTAATCTAATTGCTCGCAAAAGCTCAATATATAGTTGACCAAACTGCGACTCTACATCTTTTTGTAAATTTCTAATTTGTAGCCTAATTATGATTGGATTAATGGTTATAAAGTTATGAATATTTTTCATGATTGTATTATCTCACAAAATATTTTTATTTTTTTTATTCGTTTAGTGACTTCAAAGAGCAATTTAAGCATTTTGGTCAAAAAAATCAACTTTGGTTGCATAAGTAAAGTTATTTAGCGGGTTCAAAAATATGTGTATATAGTCAGACCTCTATATACCGATATACTATTAAAAACTTTATATACTGATAAAATTTTATTTACCCACTATACTTGAGGTCATATAA